TGACCTCTACAGCCCGCTTCCCGCATCTCCACCGCAGCCAGAAGCGAGATTCGCCGCAGGCTGGGGGGATCCACCGCCCTCCCGTGGCAGGCTCCGAAACAGGTTTCTGTCTTCTATTCGTGTACAAGAAACAGCTGGATTTGCCGGAGTAATAATAATAATATTGGCATTTTTGAACAAGCCAATAATTTCTATTATGAGTTCATACAGGTAGGAAAGAGCCTCGGGGTTCCTGGTGACCTGCAGGATTGCAGAAAGTCCCCATCAGCACAAGCTCTCACTGCCTAAAAACGAGTATCACATTCAGGGAAATAAAAGGAAGATGCTCACATGACAGTCCGTGTCTTTCCAAAAGGGACATACTGTCCTTTTCTCCCTGTCATGTGAGCATTTGGCTCACAGATTAAAAAAACACGCTATCAAGTTACATAAACACACGCTATTCCAGGTGAGAGGAGTATGTGGAGATATGAGACTGGAAGCAGGTAAAAAAAGCTGCTTGCGAAAACACCCAGCAGCAGGAAGGACCTGGTCCTGCACAGCCCACTCCCTTGCCTCGCTATTACCTCCTCCAAATCGGCAGAACTCTGCAGGAGCTGGACTCAGCATGGGAGAATCCCCGGAGGAATTGCAGTGCTGGAAAATCAGCTTGGTGCAGTGTCCACTTTATACATCCCAGCGTACCTGAAGAAAACAGATTCCCAACAAAACCATTTGGCCTGGCAAGCAGAGACGGGCTAACTCAGCCCATCAGTATGTGCTCAATGAAATACCTCGGCGCCCAGACGGATGGAGTTTGGAAAAAGTACACTTGCTCCGAGTCCCGGGACTGCAGCCAGGAGGTGGCATGCATATGCTGTCACATGCCTACATATGCTATCATGTGCTATTAGGCTTAAACTGCCTTGGAAAATACAAGAAGAACATTTTTCATATAAATATGAACGTAAAAGGCAAATATTCACCTTAGCCGGAGATGATCCTGCAGACTTTGGCAATTAATTTTGGAGCCATGAAATGTTACAGACTTCCTGGCGTCTGTTTCTGTCCACTTCTAATATAGAAATATATAATACATATATAAAGAAATATATAAAGCACCTCTAAAGCATTTATAAGTATCTGGAGTATCCTGGACCACAGGGATGCCCAAACTGTGAGATGTGAGCGAGGGATGCCCCACCATCCCTCTGAGGTCTGACCCAGGATCTACAAGGCTGACCATGCACGTGGCTAGGAGCCGCCAGAGTTTGGCTAGCACTGTTGTGTGCCGCTTTCTTCACAGTGACATCCACTGGGCTGAGGAAATACTGTCCTCGGCACCTCATCCCGCAGGAACCACTCATCCTGAGAGAACAACACTGCCTGCGTGGAGCTACACCACTCATGTTTGTGAGGGCTGGAAACCAGCCAGCTCCCTGCTGAGGTACCAAAGGTCCCTGTTCCCAACACGTGGGACCAGTGAGGACCCAGCAGGGACACGCAGTTAGAGGAGAAGGATGGAATGGGTGAAGTGATGGGAGGGGTGTGGTGTGTCCTCGGTGGTCAGGCAGGGAGTGTGCCAGAGCAGAGCCTTGGGAGACTGTGACTGTGTCTGCAGCACAGCAGCCCTTCTCCTGAGCCTGCACACCTTGGCTGGTGCCGCTGGAGAGCTCCAGCTGAGATGGCATAGGAGGGCTGCATGAGAGCCAGGACCAAGACAGGAGTCTCTTCTTACCGTAACAGAAAAAGAGGTGCAATAGGTAGACTCCTGTTTCCATCACGCAGCACTCCTCCATCTCCCCACCATGCACTGATCTCCACATCACTGCAGCCCCTCTGCCCACTGAACGGCCCTTGAAAAAAAATCAAATGCATCATTAGCAGATGGTAACAGGAGAATCCCAGGTCAGCAGGCACAGGCAGACTTCACGGTCCCACTCTACCAGTTGATATAATAAAACAAATGTGCTCTCAGACCATTTCTGCTAAGACTCGGAATATAAACCTTTACGGCTCCTTCACTGAGGGAGCTACCTTTATCTTTGTGCAGCACCCACATGCTGGCTAAAAAAACCCTGCCTCTTTCCACAGCTGGAGGGAAGGTGTTTGCTGAAGCCCAGGAACCGGAAGGCAGAGATGTGAGCCCAAGTCTGGAGAAGGTGAAAAATCAGTGCTTCTTCATTCACTGTTAGATTTGCAAGGGAACCAGCAAAGGTCTCAGGCTCCAACACAGTTACAGACATCCTGGAAGCAAGGCACAGGAGCTGATCACCCAGTGCAAGGAGGATCGTCTGTCGAGTCTCTCTGTACAGCCCCTGGCACCAGAAGCAAGACCAGTGCCGGAGGTTGAGGTCCAAATCAGCTTTGCATGTGCAAGGCAAGACAGACCATGAAGTCTTGCATCCTACCACACGCTGAGGCCAGCTTTTACTTTATCAGTGAATGATGCACTGTATTAGAGCCCTCCCCACCCACCCCAGCTGCCACGCCTCCTCTAGGACCAGATCCTGCTGGATGATGAGCATCCCTCGCTGCCACTGAAAGCAGTAAGGAGCCGGTGCGCTCAGCCGCTGGCAGCATCATTCATCCGGAGGAAGAGTGCAGAGAGATATTTGGTACCTCGCAGCCAATTGGAGGAGAGGTGACACTGAAAGGAGGGTGCTTCCAGCTCCTCTCTCCACCCATCCTCCATAACATCCCCCTCCCTGTCACCACCACCACCGCCATCCTCCTCACGCACAAAAGCAGTGCAATTAGCTGACTTAAGAGAGCCAAGGCTTAGCCAGCTGCAAGCAAAAAATAATAATAAAATACCTTGCAGGGGAGGGAGGCAGCAGAGGAAGCAGCAGCCATGGAAGAATACAGATGACTGCCCTCAATTCCACCCCTCCCAACAAAATCCAAATCACAAAGCAACGACTGCTGTGAGAAACGCCGAGCTAGATGCGTCCCCCCACTCCTCCGCTGAGAAAGCCACACACGTCTGCATCCGGATCCAGGCACTGGACCTCCTGAGCAGCCCACCTCTGTCGGGAGGAATGCCTAGTTGGGATACAGGCAGGATCTTCTTTGTTCCTCATTAGCCCCAAGCATTGGTGAGTACAGCATCATCTGGGCTTCCATACTGCTGGGAAATGTTTGATGTTAAGAAACATCAGGCAGCAGCCTGGGATTTGCTTCAGTCTCTTTCCTTTCTCCTCCTCCCTCCATGATGCCTTGAGGGTTAGCAGAAAGCAGATGACAGCAGTGGGAGGAGGGAGGGAAGGTGGGGTCTCTCTGAGCCCCAAGGTATCTCCTTTGCCTGCAGGTAAAGAAATAAAAAATGGAGACATGTGTGACCATGTCATGGACATTGCATGCAGCCAGGTGTGGGGATGAGGACAGAATACATAATGCGTGTGCTGGGAGGAAAGGCTGAGAGGCATCGGGCAGGGAGGGAGCCCTGGAATGCTCACAGCCAGCTCTTTGCTCTGATTCCCATCCCTGCCAGCTCCCGTAATAAAGACAGATGCCGGATTTACTCAGGCCTCTACATAGATTCATTCCTTTAAAGCAGATACGCACAGATTTATCTCTCCCCAGCTCATCACCAGTGACACCCTCTGTAAATACAAGCCCCCAAAGGAAGCAGAAGAAAGCCCTGGCTCTCTAAGACTTACAGCACTGGGTCAAACGCTGCTAGATGCTGATTTCCCTGACACCAGGGGACGGACAGAGTAGCCCCATCCACTTGGGAAATGATCCTGCATTCCTCATCTTAAAAAAATTACGTTGCTGTCCAGCTAGTGCCTGGGTTCATTTACAGTATAAAGGTTGAGCTCAGGAAGAACATTCAAAACTGTTCTGCAGTGGAAGAGTTAATGCATGCACCCAACATACAGGATGATTTCACTTGAATATGTTCCATACAAGACGAAGCCTGACCTTGTCCCCTTCGGGCTCAGGTGCTGCTAAGCTCAGCTGCAGCAGCATCCAGCTGAGAGCAGTGTGTCTGCTCTCTCTGACCAGAGCTGGTCCTGCAAGGAGTGGTCCTGAGCCCTCAGACAGACTTTGTTAGGACTTGCAGGTGCAGTCCCTGGGAAATAGGTACAAAGGTCTGATTTTTGCTGACTGGCAGCTTAGGAACCTTCTAGTGAAGGCAAACGATATATATGGTCCTAAGGGTCCCTCGCGCTGCTGGGGTGTTAGTATGGGTGAGAACAAGGCTCGCTGGATTTGAAATTCTCCTGCTCATACCAGTGCAGGAGAAAGCCCAGACTGGGAACAGCACACCCACATTGCCTCCATTTGAGGTGCTCCAGTTTTTTAGCATCTGCTTTGGTTTACCTGGGAGCAAGGCAGAGATGTGAATTCTTCAGGGGTGTGGAAAGACGTTCAACATCCCTGTGAAGGCCTCCTCATCCTCCTCCATTTCTCTCTGGGTGCAGGGACAAGCGTGGCAATGGAGCACAGACCAGGCAGCAGCGGTCAGGAATTTCTCTGCAAAAGCAAAGCCATTAACTTCTGCCCAGGCCAGCAAAATGGAAACTGGTGCTACTGCCAAACCAACCTGAAACCAGCCTGGGAGGAGCTTTTTCTCATCTTCCCTTTCAGCCACTTTTCATTTCCCTCAGCAGAGGTGCTTGTTTATGTGGAGATTCGTATCAGCAGAGAAGTAACAAGGGAAAATGGGTGGCCATCAGCCCGGACAGTGTTGATCCTCAAGGAAAAGAACTAAGGTCACACCAGACCAGATACATACCTGTTGCTTTCATCCAGGGCCAACCTCACCTCCTCTTTCTTGCCCAAAGCATGTCAAGCAGCCACAAAACCCCATGTCCTTGCCTCGCTCCTTTTGCAAGACAAGCAGCTTTCATGCTGCTTCTCTGTGGAGCATGGTATCAGCATACCTGCTCTGAATGTTTCACATTAAATGCTCCCCAGTAGTGATGCTCAATGCCAACCTCTCTGCCTTCCACCTTCCAGCCTGCGTCCTTCCTCAAGGGAACCACTGTGCAGCCAGACCCTCTCTGAGCACGATGGGAACCACAGAAGCCACTTTGCGGATGGAGAACGTGGACGTGAAGGAGGAGTGGCAAGACGAGGACTTCCCCAGGTTTGTTCCATGGAAAAAAGCCAGGGAAAATTTTATTTCTTCCTGTAAGAAACTAGCAGGGCATGGAGCATGCAGTTCCCTCCCATCAGCCCCAGAGGCAGCAGAAGTCTTAACTCCAGCAGGGCAATTCTGGCCAGAGAACAGAGCTTTTGTAGCAAGGCTGCTTTGAATGCTTCAAAATTTGGGGGAGGATTCTGGCAACCCTCTGTGACCATGCCAAGCAGAGGGTAAGGCACTAGGTGCAGAGGACAGGGAGATTAGCCTGGATGAATGGATGGACGGATGCATATAGCGATGGATGGATGGATGGACGGCTTCCCAGTCTCTGAATCAAGCAGTGTCTCCCCAAACAGAGCAACGCTGCTTTGCCAGATATTTGCCATGGGAAGTAGAGTGGATTGGGATGCAATGACCGCTGGCACTGACATGCAGAATCTGAACGGTTGCAAACCTTGTAAGAAATGATGTGTGGGTGACAGAAGGTGCTGAAGTGGCACCTTTCACCTTCACAGACACTTTATTAGCTGCACAGATTGCCAAAAATTCCCCGTAAGCTCAGTGTGCGCTGAACGCCCTGCAGCCACCCAAGGGGTGCACCCACCCACATCTCCATCCCAGCGTTGTCCCACACTAAAGCCCACGGCCCAGCAGCAGCTCGCTGGGGCACACGCAGCATGGCCACACCAAGCCTTGTGGCAGCTGGGGTCTGAGCTGCTGAGGGGTTTTTCAGGGCTGTCTCACCCTGTCCCAGCTGCAGCTGAATTCCCCCGGGCAGCCCACAGAGCCCCTGTATTGGCAGACAGTGGCGCAGTGTGCTGTGCGGGTGGGTGAGCATGCACAGCCCCTGCCGTGCTAGAAAGGGTCTCCTGTTTCCCTTGGCATCGGCAGATGAGTTTAGCTCTGTTTACCCCGGGCCCAGCTGCATCGCTAATCTAAGCACCTCTGTCTGCCAGCCCAGCACCCGGCTCACAGGACGTGGCTTGTCCTTCCGCTGGCACCAGAGGTGGGCTCAGCCAAGCCCTTGGGTTTCTAGGAGGGATTTTTCTTTCCTCTGAGAGCAGAGCTGGGCAGAGATTTGGGCTGATGGACCTCTGCCAACCTAAGGCTCCCCCAGAGCTGTGCTGACAAGCTTTTAATTGAGTAGAAAGGAAAATGAGGTACCTATTTCTATAGGAAAGCCATTGACCCAAGGCTCCCTAGAAAATCTTGGGACAGAGCTGGTCTAGCACCTGATACCTATGCATTAACACACCCCATCATGTTGCCATGCAAGCTTACCAACTTACTTGCCAAGCAAAGTTACCACAGCCACAGCCAAGCCTTCAAGGGGCATTTCTTCTGCAGAGCCCTCAGCACCACCCAACACAGGCATCATCGCTCCTGCTTAGCAAATGAAGCACAGGGAGAGGCAAAGGGATGTGACCATGGCTGGGTGGCACACCAGTGGCAGGGATGAGGCCCTAGCCCTATAAGCAAGCTCCCCAGACTGCTGATAGACTGCTGCAGAGGGATTAAATCAGGAATGATGCAAGTGAAATAGAGTCCAAACAGTCACTAGGCAAATGAATGAACGCTAGCTGTGTTTAAATGGCATTAAAAATAAATTAATAATTTTCAAGACACTTCCCCTTAGAAGCTTTAAAATAATAGGGCAGAAGCTGCTGCATGTGGGACAGTAGCTCTCTAGCAGATGATTTGCTGCATAGCTATTTTTGCTTAGCTGTGATTAACCAGTCTTGCCACAGAAAAAAAACCCCCATATCCTAGACAAAGATCTGGGCTGGGGAAACTGAATTCAGCTGCTCATTTAGGACGCAAGGCGACATTCCCATCCCTCCCCGAGAAGCTGATCTGCAAGCTCCTGCCTTGCAGGTCCCAAAGGTGCAATGCCAAGGCACTGAGCAAGCGGAGAGGAAAGGGTCCCCCTTCCTGCTGCTCCCTGAGGGTTTAGCCTCCTGCCGAGCCTGTCTCAGCTGTTTGTGCAAGTGCCATCCTGCAATGATGCTGTAGCGGTGCCACGGGGCGGATGCAGCAGCATGCTCACTCCATCGCGCATCCATCGGATCACGGTCGGTGAAGGCTCAGGCTGGTTGGGGCCCGAGAGAAGTTGTTTACAGAGGGAAACTGGGCAGCACGCTATCAGCAGAAAGCAAAATGGTGGCACCCGACCCTTAGAAAACCTGCTTCATTCAGAAAATTTGGCATCTGGGGCTAGCTGCCTTTGGGAAGGCAGATTTACACGGGAGACTGGGAGGTAGTGATTTGAGGATCCTTTGGGAAGGTAAGAAAGCCCTTTTCTTCACCTCTTATTTTTTAATTGCATTTCTTAAATGAATCCTAGCATCAGAGAGCGGAGTGCCTGACTGCAGCACATACTCGGGTACAGCTGGGCCTTTATCCCCCCCTCCTTTTGATGCTGTATCACAAAGTTGTGCCAGGCGCCAGCTCACAGTCAGATAAACAACCAGCCAGGCCCCGTTCAAGACAAAAGCAAAAGGGAGAAGGAGAAGCTGGAGGGGGGCAGAGGGATCTTTCTGACTGCTCAGGAATATTGTGGCAGCCCACGGGGTCCAGGTGCTGCACAAGCAAGCTAGGAGCAAGCGCCTTTGATCAGGTCTCCAACTCTCATAAATATACAACAACCAGCTAGGAGAGGATTATCCCTTAATCTAAATATTTAAAGGGTTTAATTTGGCTGGTGGCTCTGGTGTCATGACAGCATGAAGAGGAGCCTTTGTAGGGCAGAGCTAGGCTATATATTCCTGTGGACTTGGAGGTATCGGTTCTCATCATCTCTCTCCTTGCTATCGCTGGACCATAAGGCCAGCAGCTGCTGGACATTAGCCCCATGCACAGTCCCATCCACATTCTTACAGCACTGCCTTAAAACTTTGGGGTTTTTCCCCACATTTCACTCCAGGGCTGTCCCAGCAGCCAGGATTTTACACCTGGAGGCATGAGCTCTTCCCGTGTTAAGGAGGAGCCTCCAGCACTGGGCAGGTGAAACGAGGATGGCTCAGAAGGTCCCTTTTAAAGTGACCTTCAGCATCACGACCTTATCATGGGGTTGGTGGGGTTTGGTTATGCTGTGCAAGAAGCTTCAAACCCAGCTAATGCCAGAGGACAGGCATAAGTCCCAGCTCAAATTAAGGGGAAAAGTGTCCAGCTCAGGGTGGGCAGTGTACGGCTCAGCCACCAGCTAGGGCTCCTCCCTGCAGTACTGGGGGCCAGATTCTGACTTCACTTACCCCAGTATGGGTCAGGAGCAATTCCAGCAACTTCCAAAAGGCGACAGCCACGTAATGAGGTTTGGCATTAGTAGGAAAGCCAACTTTTAAATCAATCTCCAACTAGAGGCATGGTGATTTATACCAAGACAGTGCAGAAGCCAAGCATGAGAAGCTGCAAATCCTGACCTCTGCCATGGACCCCCAGGAGGGGAGCGGTGGGTCAGCCTTTGGCTCCGAAATACGGGTTTGAGTGCTGGTGCCTAGATCTTAGCTCACAACGAACCTGCTGCCAAACCTCAGCAGGCTTTGGCTATCACTGTCAGCTTTTGTCAAATAGGGGCTGAGGTGAGGACAGGGTAACAATTCTAGGATCGTGCCTAAGGTTTGATCCTTGCCTTGAACTCTGACTGCCTTAGAGCAAAGTCTCTATAGACCAAGGAGGCAGCAGCCTCCCGGCAGAGGTGGTTGTGGCAGGCGTTTTGGATGAAGTTCTGCTCTACTGCAGCCAGGGCCTGTGGCAGAAAGCAGGATGTGCTTTACAAAACCATTGGCAGAGAGTGCAAAGTACTCTTGTGATAAGCATCCACTGCTAGCACAGCTGCTGCTGGGATGAAAGCATCCCCCACTGGCCTTAGGCACAGCCAAATTCAGACTGTCTGGATGGCCCACAGCACTGCCTACACTGTGCAGGGAACAGGAATACAGACAACAGAGTACCAACTGCAGATGATGTTCCCTGGAACCCTTGATGAGGAGCCCTAGAGCTTGGCACTGCCTCTCCAGCTTCTGACGGAGATAAAAATGGGGAAAATATGAAGAGAGTGAGGACGTTGCCAGGCTCTTCTGAGGACAGGATTTGTTCCCATGTCCCTGGCTGAATTTTCCAGCCTCTTGGCTGAATGGCAGCATGAGAGGTGTATTGGGGTGGAGGGGGTGTGGTATACGCAGAGAGAGGAGAGAGTTTGGAGGTTACTAGGGATTGCACAGTGCTCCAGTAAGAAAGCACAACTGCTGAGTTGCTCTTGTGCAAATCACCTTAGGCTGAGCTCACAGGCAAAAGAGAAAGGGCAGAGCACATGTGGGGCTGTATGTTTTTCCCTGATGTCCCCAGTTGTGTCCCCTGTCTGCCATGGAGTGACTTTCTCCTAAACATCACCTATTATCTGCTGTCTTTTTACCTCTGCATCTTGGCTTGCCTGCAGACCTCTCCCAGAAGAGACGGGGATGGAGTCGCTGGGCAGCCCTACAGAAGATGAGAATACGTCCTGTAAGTACCAGCCTGCCTTATCAGGAGTTCAAAGGAAAACAAGCTTATGGGAACAGCAGCTTCCAGTTAGGACGGAAGCCAGTTCCCTTGGAGTACCCACACAAATTCCCATGTGAGAGAGGAAACCAGCAGAGATTTGAATTTGCTGATCTTTCATAAGAAGCTGGGGGAGGATATAGGTATCTCAGAAGTGTGGGCACTTTTATCCAGCCATACCTGCTGGTGTCCAGTACCTCCCAGCTATGATTCATCACCCTTAGCTTCCAAGACTGTAGCCTGATATATGCATAAAGCAAGCACCATGTCTTGTACTAAGGATACAGGACGAGGACAACCTGTCAGTTATTTTCCTTTTAACTCCAGCTCCCCCAAATACTTTAAACTTTAACGGGGCGCATCGTAAACGGAAGACACTTGTTGCACCTGAAATCAACATTTCCCTGGACCAGAGTGAAGGCTCCATTCTCTCCGATGACTTCCTGGACACACCAGATGACCTGGACATTAATGTGGATGATATTGAAACTCCTGATGAGACAGATTCCCTCGAGTTCCTGGGGAACGGGAACGAACTGGAATGGGAAGGTAAAAGGCTCATTCGGGGTGAATATCTGCAGGGGCGGGTCACCTCATTTTAACCACTTTCGACACCACTCACCATCAGCGGCTGACAACCAACTTCCCCAGCAGTGAAGCACAGCACACACAACCAAAGCCCATCTTCCACACAACATCTGCCCCACCAGGACCCCAGCTATAGCCCAGGAGTCTCAGTGTTGCTATCTCAGCACTTCCTTCTGGGGCTAGTGCAGGCAGAAGTAGTTCAGGGACTTGCAAACACCAGTCAAGACATAATTCAGGATAAGGCATATGGCTTTGGACACACATGCCCTTCCAGCTGCAGCTGGGCCACCACCCCAGGCTGGAAGGTGCTGCCTGCTCAGCGCTGCCAGTAGAGCTGTCACGTGAATGTTCCAAAATCTTGAACAACACAGTCTTTGCTAACCTGGCTGATTTTGACTGAATTGGGCTAAGAAGGACTCATACAAGCAGCTCTGCTAGAAGACAACCAGCACAGGTGGTACCCTCCACCAGCTAGCAGAGATGGATCGGAAGGAAGATCCAGCAAAAAGTCCAGTGCCTGACCTGTGACTGCAGATACCATAAGCAGCATGAGATGTTAAGCTTATTTCTATTATAATTTGGCAATGGAGCAAGATTATTAAGAACCATAAACTTGCACAGATCAAAGTCACAGATGAAACAGGTCATCCTGTGGTTGTTACTGTCTCTCATTGCACATCAAAGCTCTTGCAGAACCATTTCGTTCGTTATATTAAAGGCAGAAATATTTGTTCCTCTTCCAGATGACACCCCTGTAGCCACAGCCAAGAACATGCCCGGGGACAGTGCAGATCTCTTTGGGGATGGTGGGACAGAAGACGGGAGTGCTACTAATGGACGGCTCTGGAGGACTGTCATCATTGGAGAGCAGGAGCACCGCATCGACCTCCAGATGATCAAACCCTACATGAGAGTGGTGACACATGGAGGTGAGGGAGAGGGAGGCCTGATCCTGGCCTAGTGGATTTCTTTCAGTCCATCCTTGTCAAGCTGGAGGGGATGTCATTACAGATTGTTTTGACTGTCTTTAGGGAAAAATTGCTATCTGCTTTGTACCGTTACGTGGCAGATAAGCACAAAAGCACCCAGCTCATGCTAGAAAACACATAGCCACTGTAACAATGTTTTAATAAACAAAAGTAGGGATAACACTGGCTCTGAGCAAGGCTGAATATACCCCAACCCTCAGCCCTGGGTGTGGGCAGCGTGGCCAGTGATGAAGGAACTGCAGGTTCTTAATCCCTGCCTGAGCTGTCTCTGGAGGCACAGCTAAAGGCCAGTACGTCCCCAGTTAGTGACCATTTCTGAAATCTGAGCAAAGCCAAACAATGACACAGAGGGCAAAGCTCTCAGCTCCATGCTTTGACACAAACAAATTCCTTCCCTGAACCCCACATGCATGTTATAGCCAAAACCAGGATCAGAGGCAAATCTGATTGTGAAAGAGGTCCGTAAGAGAGACAAACACTTACCTAGAGCTGAACAGAGGCACAAAAACCAGCCCAGGCCCAAATTCGGCAATGCATCTTCGCTGCTATTTTTTTCTTCAACTCTTGTGCCTCCCCCTGGAAAGAGTCACTGATGCTGCCTGTGTCTTTCTTTCCCAGGATACTATGGAGAAGGTCTCAATGCCATCATTGTCTTTGCTGCCTGCTATCTTCCAGACAGTAACCTGGCCGATTACCACTACATCATGGAGAATCTCTTCCTGTAAGTGGCTGGTCAAGGTCTAGGAGGGAGAGGAGGGCCAGGATGGTAGCTCGGGCTCTGTGGAAACAGCTTCCATGCACACTTTGCATCAGGAAACTCAGCCGGAAAAAAAGTTTGAATCGAGGCCAAATGTACCCAGTGTGCAGCTGCAGACTGGAGTGAGCATCACTGGGTGAGACACTGTCCACAGCATTTGCATCCAAGTCCAGTACATCAAAGCATTCAAACATTCAGTGACAATTATGCCAGTGATGGACTCACAACCAGGCTACAACACACGTATACAATGCTTAACAGCTAGTAGATGCTACTGCTAGGCAGAAGAATGGCGCAGGGATGTCCATCAGTGCATGCACTATGCTAACAAGCACCAGAAATCCCCGAGAAATACCCTTAGGCATTCTACAGAGGTGTGAAGAGAATCCAAAACCTATTCCAAGATTACAAAGAAGGGGTCTAGAGGCCTTTTAGGGATGATACACAGGCACCTGAAGAAACCCCAAGGGACCTTTCTTGAGTCTCATGTCCCCGTTGCTTTTGATCATCACCTAACAGATACGTGATCAGTAGTCTGGAGCTGCTGGTGGCTGAGGACTATATGATTGTGTACCTAAACGGAGCAACACCCCGGAGGAGGATGCCAGGCCTTGGTTGGCTGAAGAAATGCTATCAGATGATAGACAGAAGGTGAGAATCCTGTTGGTGTTACTTCTTTATTCTTCCCAGTCCTCTTCCCACATCTCTTCCACTCCTTCCTCACAGCCTTCCCAGCCAACCCTCCTTCCTCACTCCTCAGATTCTGTGATTTCTTCCTCTGTCACAGCTTTCTGACTTACTCCAGGTCACCTTCATTGCCTCTTCTCCTCCCTTCCCTCACAAGCACCTTCACAGAGATCAGGCTAACACAGCACCCAAGCAAAGCAGTACTCCTGCAGCCTGCTGGGTCTGAGCTTAAATAGGGTTCCTAAGGCTGTGGGCAGGGCTTCTTCCTGGAGGCACCCACGTGAGGCCAGTAATGCTTATTAGTGCCCTGACACGTTACAGCTGACTGTAAGAAAAGGTACTTTGAATCTGACATTGTGTCCCATGGCTTTTCCACAGGCTGCGTAAAAACCTCAAAGCACTGATAATCGTGCATCCTTCATGGTTCATTCGGACAGTGCTGGCTATATCCAGACCCTTCATCAGGTAAATGCAACCTGTTCCCAAACTTGGCTGGTTTTGGAGTGGAAGTTTAATCTCAGGAATCAGATCTTAAGCCCACCTTTAGTAGCGACCAAGCTGAGATGGTTTGTCATTTGTTCCAACATCTCTCTGATGCTTCCAAGGACCACTCTAGAGGCGGTTCTAGTGGACACTGTAGTGGTCTGGATCCGGATCAAAGTTTGTCCCAGTCAGCAGTGCATAAAGATCTACTGGGAAGTGCAGGAATGGTGGTCCTTTTTCCCTCCTACAGATATTGAGAGGCGGAGGTCAAAGCAAAGTGAGGCACAGTAATGTGGCATCTCACCACAATTTTTAACCATCAGCATATTAGCACTGGGAGGAGATGGGTACACTCAGACTACAGAGGATATAGAGATGCAGAACTCCCCGTTTCCATCAGGAAAATTCTGACTTCCTATGGAGAGGACATCAAAACATGACCTCAAGCACACACTATTTCTCTTTACTCTTTCTCTCTCTACCAGTGTGAAGTTTATCAATAAGATCCAGTATGTTCACAGCTTGGAGGAACTGGAGCAACTTATCCCAATGGAGCACGTGCAGATTCCAGACTGCGTCTTACAGTGAGTATCAGCGGGACCCTGGGGCACAGGTAGCTCTGAGGAGGCACAGGACAAATCTGCTGTGTAGCAGGATGAGTCAAAACCCATGTACTGGAAACACAGAGCCTGGGGCAAACCTTATCTTACTCATACACTGATGCCAAGCAAGAGCCTGCACACTGCGCTCGTTTGCAGTTTCTGTCACCTTCAGAGCAAACACTGCGTTTTACTAAGTTACCAGTCCAGAGTGGGGAACGTCTAAAGAATGTCTCCTGTTTGTTGCAGATATGAAGAAGAGAGGATCAAGGCCAGAAAAGAAAGGTAAAATTAACTTCTGGGGTGAAGGAAGGTGGGTTTATTTATTCGGGATAGTGCCCTTTTGCTTATTCTCATCGTTATCTGTGCTATAACCAGTCAATTCTGTGTTCCTCCTACCCTGATATCCCACACAGCCTACATTTATTTTCTACTGATTTTCTCAAAATAGGCAAAAGCTGCAGGAGGGAGGAGAAGCTTGGTTAAAAGGTTATTTATCCATAGAACTGTTCTTAATCCCACAAGCGCACACATCGTGAACACGCATTGTATGTGCTAGGAAAGATCATCAGAAATCACTGTATGTATAAAAATGTCACATATTCCCCATATGACCATGCAAACTGACCTTAAAGTGAGAGCTAGTGCTTTTTTTAAAAGCCACTTCATTCTGCTAGAGTGGCATAAAGAGGGCCATTAGTTTACAGTTTGTTTTGTTTCATTTTCTAGAGCCATTTCATCACCAGTGAGTTAGGCTAGAAGTGCTGGCCATTAACAGTGATAACTCAACTCTGCTAAAAGCAAAAGGCAATCTTGGACAGAGGAAAGACCAGCTGGGTCAGCACAAGAGCTATGTGCTATAATAACACCTCCTTCTGCTGATGAACTGAATGGGAGATGCCAGTTTGGGAAGATTCAGTTCAGTGTTAGCTGCTGAAAAGCAAGTCGGCCAGCCCAGATTGGTCAGTGACGTCCCTCTAGGGCCAGCAGAGGCATCCTGAGAACGCTGGGGTTATCAAGGCTGCAAATCACAGGGACTAATAGTCATTTCTGATCAGACCTGTAACCCCTGTCTGACCTCCAGCTAGCTCTCTAGAAAAGCCTGAGATACTCTACTCTTTCACATTGCTGGCCCCTAGATGATAGATTTCAAATGCAATTTGTGTTTACAGGGCAGAAGAGAAACAAGACATGGCTGAGAAGGAAAGGTAACTACTCTTTTTTTATTTATCCTTCACTTACAAAATAGCTTAAATGACTTTTGGTGAGGAAAACGGCCCCACTGCTTGGTAGCATTCCCTGGGAAGCCTGGCTCTGCACTCTCGGGAGATGTTTGGACCCAACAGGACATTTCTCAAGTGTCTGGGAACTGATAAAGCCTCTCCTCTCCCTAACAGCTCCCTGTGCCATCACTGTTGTGATGTTATTGACCTTCACCTATGGAAATGGATTCCTGACACTGCTTTTTACCTCTGTAAAGCCAGTGAACCCATTTGGTTACAGACCAGAGCCAGAGGCACCAGGGAACATTCTCCTGACATTCAGCTGGAGCGTTTGCATGCTGGTGCAATGCTGAGGGCCAAATACTGCCGTCAGGCACATCCTGGATGTGTGTAAAGGCAAGAGATCAGGCTGTAACATTAGATGGGAAGGAAAATTCTAGGGAGGTTTGGAAGACAGTGTCCAAATCCTGTGGCAGGATAATTTGGCCTGGTTTTGGCTCTGCTTCAGAGTGATACAGCCTCTCTTTTTTTTATTCTATCTAACTAGCTCCTGAGGGGAAACAGTGCATATTTCTGCTATTCTCTTCCCAGAGAAAAAGGAGCTTTGATCAAAATTCCCAAGGTCCATTGTACAAGTCTGCATTGTTCCAAGAAACAAATGGAACCTCAGGGCCAAAAGAGAGGATGATTAGTTTGTGGTGGAGACTCACTTATTGTTTTGCTGGTTCTCTTCCAAGCAGGCCTGTGCCCCCAGCAGAGGATCAAGAAACCAGGTTTGATTTGTACCTCACTCTTGTTTGTCTCTATGTGACAGATTTCGTTGCATTTGTAATCCACTAACAGGAAAGGCAAGACTGGGTTAGACCCAGGTCCTCTTTAGCCCGATGCCACTCACCTAGCACAGAAGAGGCATCAGCCACTTTGCAGGAGGGGGCTACAAAACCGGGACACCTTCACCCCGCCACGGTGTGGCTGCAGTCACAACCACTGCAGCTTGTTCCAAAGCACAGACTGGTCACAACTGCAGCTGCTGTGGGGGCATTTGAGAAAAGCAACCACTCAGTAAATTATCTGGCATTTGCCACGTGATAAAGGTGTGCACATGGGAAGTTACTGTGGAGCTGCCTTCCTTTACGCTATACCAACATGGTCCTACACGCTCAGGAAAAGCCCTTAGAGAAGAAGCCCATTAAAGCTATGAATGACATCATCTTCGGCCCTGATATACTTTTGTAGAGGATTGCACCCAAACATATTTTTTGACATAGTGGGAACAAAATTTTTACTACAGTTTGCTTTCTAAAAATAACTCCGGCTTTCTGTTCCTTCGCAGTATGTCATGAATCAAAGTAGAGTGGAATGAATGAAGCAGAAGAACGACGCAGCCTGGCAGCCACCCACGTAAATGACCTTTTGGTATAAGACCTTGCCGCCATCTTATTCCGAGTTCTGTAAGATCACGGAGCCTGCCTCCCCTGTCTCCAAGATGCAAAGTCCCTTAAACTTTTATGAAATATTTTACTCTAAAAAAAAACACCCACAAAACAAAACAAGCCAAGAATAGCACTTTTCAGGAAAGGTTCCGGTATGTTTCAGTAATGGTCTGTGGAGAGCTATTAAGTAGTGCAAATAGACACCATGTTTCCTCTTAGTAAGTTAAGAGCATCCTGTAGTCCATTAGTCACCAGCCCAGAAAGAGATATATTTTTTGTTTAAATTATAATCCCTTCCCCTAACTTGCTGCTGGCCAGCACTGAGCCATTTTGCTTTAAACTGCACACCCCTGATTCCTCCATACAGACATTACAACAGCCATTGCCCCAGGGAATAACTCTTACAGGCAATGAAAAGAATGCATTTTCGTCTTTCTATAGCCAGTGTATGTTTCTTCCTGAAAATAACAAGTGCCCACCCGTCTAGGCTTGTCTTCCAGCCTTGACCACCTCAGTCAATTCATGGCCAGTTCCTCTTATTAACTCACACCGAACCATTCCTATGAGTATATGCCATGTTTTTTCCTGATTTGTTCTGTCTCAGTTTGTAAGGCACTCCGATAACTTTGAAAGAGGGTCCCATACGGCATGGCAGCCTCCACAGAACCTTCTTATGAGTATCTTTTCATATCAACGCACACACACCAAAAAGGTCTGGGTTTAAGAAGGAGCCTTACAGACAGGAAAGTTTTTCACGCCTTGTCTTTGTATTGATTTCATGACACTGGACAATCATTTACTATTAATACCTCCTATTGTGGAGACAAGCTGCTAAATGTTTGGAATTTCCTACTTGCCAACCCTGAGTAACGAGGGTCTCATCTACAAACATACCTGCCTGGGAAAAACCCAGCTGGAGGATGCTGCAGATGCGGAGGCAGGACACTGCGTCTGGGTTCAGCGTCTCAGCCAAGAGTTGCAGACGTGATATTGAGACTCTGAAATGTGTATTTTGGACTCATGAGGATTCTGTGAGAAACGGAGGGAAGAAAATTTAAGAAACAACTATCTGGCCAAAATCATTTGGAAACTTCTGATTTCACCAGAACCAGCTTACATAAACTGTCTCAAATGCAACAGGTAGGACCCCTTGCAGACAACTGCAGATGAAGAATTACCCGCATCTTTCACTACATAAGGAATATTTCAAGCCTGGCAACCTCAGCCCATGGCTATTTGAAATTATCAGCACTTCACTTGGCTTTGAAATCCCCTGGAGGACAACTCTGGCAAAGCAAGATCTTCCTCAAGATAGAGATGTCTCCTGTGTATACACAAAGCTTCCCTGTTTTCCTTTCAGTAAACAAAACTGCTATAGATGAGATCTTTAGTTTCCTGAATGCTACAAAGGAGCACCAATTATGCTTTCTAACTTTACTTCTCATTTGATATATGTTTTTCTTCTGCACTTCAGTCACGGATGTATTTACCAAACAGACCTTTGCAGGAAGAACAGAGCACTATATCCACAGCATTAACCCTAGAAGCTGAAGACAGTAAAAGCTCCATATCCTGTCTCACCAGCATGTTAATAATAAGCACCAAGCAAGCATCGACCTCCACAGCTTTCTAGAAATTTCATTATGAGCCAGTTATTGACAAAGTGAATTCTATGCTACAAGGAAAAAAACAGCACTTCAGCTCTTTTGGAGTTTAGGTTTTCTGCCAATAACACCTCCCCACAAAAGGCATTCTGTCCAAACAGTCAGCAGACATCTGTTTCAAGACAGAAGCAGCAGTCAGAAATTTTCAAACATTAATGTGTTAACCCGATCTGCAAAGCTGGCTATCCTCTTTCACACACGGTCTGTCAGATGGACTAAACGGACCCAGTGAAATTAAGAAAGGACTCTTCTGATCAAATTAATTTTAGCTCAGACTACAAACAATCACAAATCTCCTTGTAGTTCAAGAATATGTAAATTCACCATCTCCCACTGGTAACACTTCAGTCTAGATTTTCCTTTTTATTTGATGCATTTTTATCCATTTGGATTAAGAAATCATCTGCTATGCTTTCCACAGAAGAATGTGATGCAGTTGGACACTGAAAGGGAAGTTTACAATTATATAATGAAGAAAATTGATACAACGGTTAATAATGTTTTAAAAGTACAACTGTAGAAACCTTTTATGCATCTGTAGTTACTAAACACTTCAGTGAAAAATGTTCACAACACCATGGAAAGTACTGATGTTATGGGACACACGGACATGGAAGAGAAGGAACCTCAATTACGTTTAGGCTTGGGGCCTGAAGAAATAGACTGCTGCTCGATCTTCAGCAGCAACCATACCAGAAGAACGTGGGGTTTGGTTGTTTTGTTGTTTTGGGTTTCTTCCAAAGAAAAGAAACTGTCTACATTTTCCAAAAAATTACCGAATGAGCAGACCTGAAGATGAAACTTCGTATTTTTTCAAGTAATTCCTTCAGGGCAAGGTTAAGAGCTCAGCTGTGAAAAGGACAGAATACCAGTTTCATTTCAAGGTACGAAGGAAGTTGTTTGTTTGAACACAAAAGTCAGTTTGTAACTTCTTTGAAACAGTTTTTCAAAAAGTGCACTTTCTGATAAGCCGTCTAAGTAGTATGCACTATATTTTAATTTTTAACAAAATTTTATGAGTCTATAAATTCTATGTTCCTGGATGGATGGATGGGTGGATGGATGTCTATATGACTTTTCAACATAGAAAAGAACCTGCAACCCATAATGGATGAACTATAGCTAAATGTAAAAAGTGCATTTTTATAGCAACAAAAAAAAAGTGTATCATTAACTTCTTTCAGGCAGTGATTTTAGATGCTGCTTCAAATCAAAGCAGCTAGAAATTCTTTGACAGAAACACAGAACCAGTCAAGTTGGCAGTGTCCCTTCACCAAACACGGAGCAACATATCAAAGTTTGATGTTGATAGACCTGTACAGGCTTCAGACAAAATCAGATCTAGGTGCTGTAATAAACACACACCAAATGTGTTGCACTCGTCTTTAGAAGATCATTACAAATTTGGTTCCACCTTGCAGTGGAGGTGAGAGATTGACAGGGACTCTCAAGGACAGCTGATGAAAGTTTTGGAGACTGCAGACATATGATACTATTGCATTGGAGGGGAGCTGTCAACCGGTGGCTTAAACCCAAGGACAGGACTTACCTTACACAGGTGTCGAGCAGTGACAATAGACCCAACAGAAATCTGAGGTGACTGGAGCCATTTGACAAATTTCTTTGCCCGTTCCTTAAAGAGAGCTGCTCTCAAAGCCTGTTTGTGAAAGGGTTCACCAGCTGAGCTCTACATTTCCACTGGAGATGCAGTTTATAAGAGAAAAATGCTATACCAGCAAAAAAAAAAAAACAAAACACGTTGCTAGTAAAAGTGCATTTACATTAGGACTTTTGCCAGTATATATACACATGTGTTTAAAAAATAAAATGAAATAAACTACATCCTTTTAGCAATACTGCTATACTGGTCAATGTTCCAAATGTACACCAGGCCTTGTTTCTGCCTCATAAAAACATCTCTGAAGGATAAATATTTTGACTTATGAATGCACTGTATTATATCTAGCAGCAGGTATTATCAACAACATTTTTCTGATCTTGGATTCTACCTTTTCTGAGATTTTCTAATGGTGAATCCATGGATAGCCATATTTTAGCTGCAGAAAAAATTATTTTACACCCATGATAGTGTATTCACAAAAAACATGGTATACTTCCTCACAGTCTAATTAATGGCTGAATTTCAACATTCACCCAGCATCAACCTACAAACTGAAAAATGAGATCCCTTCCTGTACAGCTGATGACAGTCTAGGAAATACCTTCCCACCGCTTTAAGGCAGTCACAGGACTTGACCTCACCTTCAGAAAACGCAGGCATTTGTCACAGCAACCATCAGATTTATACAGTTAAAACTACTTTGTTTTGGCACATATAGGAACCATCCAGGTTTGGGAATGTCCAGTAATTTTCGTTTTGATTCACCAGGAAGACACAGGAAATAAAACTGAGATGCTGCTGTATATTCAAGTTGGATAATTCATACAATTTCTTCTGTACAGTACTGTGTAAATGTGAGTGGATATTTAGAGCATACCTCATTGCAATTTTTCCATCTATTTTTTCCAGAGATTATTTGCTTACAGATGGGCATACGCATGTATGAGAAAACCTAAGCGGTAAAGGTTTTAAAAGCAACACATCTTCTATTTTACATATCTAGGGATGAAAAAAACAAAAGAGTTAATGAAATGCTGGTGGCAATAAGCTCAGATTGGCCTGACAGCAGGTGAAATGTACAGGCAAAATTGCTATAAATACAAAAGCACATGTTTTCTCTTT